GGGATCGAGGAGTGGAGAACAGCAATCATTCAGGCAACCACCTTAGGAATCCTTTAATCATAAAGATCATTAAAGTTACAGTAATTAAGTGGGTCTCCCCCACATCACTCTTCCTTTAATCATGAGGCCACATTTTCCATTTAAGATCATATACTCAAACACAAGATTTGTCTTCTTCCCCCCCTTCCCTCTCTCTCTATTCTATATTTAAACTTTTTTTTTTTCTAAATCTAAAACAGATGAGAGACAAAATAGAAAGAAGAACTCTCTCGAGTCTCAACTCTCCTCTTTCTTTGCATATTTTTGAAACGTTGTTATCTTCCCTTGCTCATTCTTCCCGCCTTTACCTAGCCTAAAGAAAGAAAACAGCATGAAGACAGTTTTTTTCCTCTATTTCACCATCTTTCTCTCTGTCTGCACCTCTCTTACTGTTACTGCTGCTCCTCCAAATGACACAAATGCTCTTACTCTCTTCCGCCTCCAAACTGACACTCACGGCAACCTCCTCTCCAACTGGACTGGCCAGGACGCCTGTGGTCTCCCCACAGCGTGGCTTGGCGTCGGATGCTCCGCCTCCGGCCGTGTGGTTTCTCTCTCTTTGCCCTCTCTCTCACTTCGTGGGCCCGTCACTTCACTTTCTCTCCTTGACCAGCTTCGCCTCCTAGACCTCCATAACAACCGCCTGAATGGCACCATTTCTCCACTCACAAACTGCACCCATCTCAAGCTTCTCTACCTTGCTGGCAATGACTTTTCTGGTGAAATTCCACCCGAAATCTCCTCTCTCAAGCGTCTCCTTCGTCTTGACTTGTCCGACAACAACATACATGGCAAGATCCCCGGACAGTTGACCAATTTGACCAAGCTGTTAACACTCCGCTTACAAAACAATGAACTGTCCGGTCAAATTCCTGATTTTTCCACTTCATTTCCAGATTTAAAAGAGCTGAATTTGTCCAATAACGAGCTTTACGGACGGTTACCAGATAACCTACTGAAGAAATACAGCGACCGAAGCTTTTCTGGCAATGAAGGTCTGTGCGGATCTAGCCCATTGCCAGTGTGTTCCTTCACAGGCAATGAACAACCAGTCGATTCAGATCAAACAGTACCCTCTAATCCTAGCTCTATGCCTCAAACCCCACTCCTTGGAAAAGATAAATCTCACTTGCATAAAGGACTAAGCCCTGGTGCTATAGTGGCAATTGTGATAGCAAATTGCGTAACATTACTGGTTGTGATTTCGTTTTTATTTGCGTATTACTGTGGTAGAGATAGAAGTAGTAGTGCAAGTTCAAAAGCGGGTAGTGAAAGCGGAAAGAGGAGGAAGAGTGGGAGTAGTTATGGGAGTGAAAAGAGAGTGTATGCAAACGAGGGTGGAGATAGTGATGGGACTAATGCTACAGACAGGAGTAAGCTAGTGTTCTTTGACAGGAAGAAGCAGTTTGAACTTGAGGACCTATTGCGTGCGTCGGCAGAGATGCTTGGGAAAGGGAGCTTGGGGACTGTATATAAGGCGGTGCTCGATGATGGTTGTACAGTGGCTGTCAAGAGGTTGAAGGATGCAAACCCTTGTGCTAGGAAGGAGTTTGAACAGTATATGGATGTGATTGGGAAACTTAATCACCCAAATATTGTGAGACTTGCAGCTTACTATTATGCCAAGGAAGAGAAGCTTCTCGTTTATGATTATCTTCCTAATGGGAGTCTCTACTCACTTCTTCATGGTTTGTGATTTTGCAATCCAATTGGATTTTAATGAATTTTTCATTAGCAGAATAGCCTGTTTTTCGATTATTTTCTTTATTTATTTTTGTTAATTGTTTCGTTAGTGCAATCTCAGGGAATCGAGGTCCAGGGAGGATTCCTCTAGATTGGACTACAAGAATCAGCTTGGTGTTGGGAGCGGCTAGAGGATTGGCAAAGATACATGAAGAATATAGTGCATCAAAAATCCCCCATGGGAACGTGAAATCTTCCAATGTGCTCCTTGACAGGAATGGTGTTGCTTGCATTTCTGATTTCGGGTTGTCTCTACTTTTGAACCCAGTTCATGCCATTGCAAGACTGGGAGGATACAGGGCTCCAGAGCAAGCAGAAATAAAGAGGCTCTCTCAAAAGGCGGATGTGTATAGTTTTGGGGTCTTGTTGTTGGAAGTTCTTACAGGCAGAACTCCTTCGGAGTACCCCTCGCCAACACGCCCACGCATTGAAGACGAGGAGCAAGCAGTAGATCTTCCTAAATGGGTGAGATCAGTCGTTAAGGAAGAGTGGACATCAGAAGTTTTTGATCAAGAACTCTTGAGGTATAAGAACATTGAAGAAGAACTTGTATCAATGCTCCACGTGGGGTTGGCTTGTGTGTTTCCGCAACCTGAAAAGAGGCCTACAATGGCAGAAGTGGCTAAGATGGTTGAAGACATTAGGGTGGAGCAGTCTCCCCTGGGGGAGGATTACGATGAATCTCGCAATTCGCTGTCACCTTCCCTCGCAACCACTGAAGACGGGATGGCGGGGTATTGATGTTCCAATGCCTAAAACTAGCAAGTGTCGATTGTTTAAATTTCTTTATTGTCCTATTCTCTGTTTCATTTGCAGGCAGTATCTCCTTGTTGCTGGCTTTTCATAAGACCCTGATATTGTATCATGTTTCTTTGTAAGATTTGTAGTCCTTAATGCCTTGCATTTTATCGCTATTGCAGGTGCGAGGATCTAATATCTCTTGCACCTGTCTGTGAACAATATAGTTCTTCCTAGTCTTCTTTAATGTAAAATTTAGTTTTCGGCGTTTAAATTAATTATTCAGTGAGAATTGCCAGCAGCTTAGCCTATCCAAAAGGTAAGAAGCAATCCCTTCCTCCTTGTCGTGTTCATCAGGTCAGGCAGTAGGAGGAATGTTGAAGCTGTGTTCGAGTAAAACAGGCAGACCTGCAAATATTTTGAGAAGCCACACTAGCATCACTTCCAAAAGGAATACGAGACCGTAGATTAATCCACTTTTTCTCTTCTCGTATGTTTTTTCAACATCACCTTTCTTTTTCGTTCATATAAAACGGTTGGATCTTCATTATTAATTGACCCTCTTTTTCTTTCCTTCTTCTCCCTTTAGTTTTATGCGAAATCGGTGTGCTCTTCCTTTTCTGATCCGCTGAGAATCAGTGGTTCTCAAGGTGATCGATCCACTGTCACTTTTGTGTACTCAAGTTTGCATAGGAGATGAAGTAAAGCTTGTGGTTTTCTCCAAACAGTAACGAAACTGTAAATTTAATTATTATTTTTTAGAGTTATAAGAATATAGATTTAGGATTGATTAGAATTTTTATAAAAATAACTTGAAAATTATTTGTTTTGTTTCAGAACAGGATTCAGTTCTCACAAATTATACATAATTTAATTATTTGATTCGTAATAATAATTCACACAGCAACCGTGAAAAATATTTTAAACTCTTTTAAGAGAGTGGAATCTTAAACCCTTTTAAACAAGAGGGGAATTATTATATTTTTGAATATTAATTTTTTTATATATATTTTAAGTATTTTTGTATTAAACTCTATTCACGTTATAAAATAGTATAGTTTTTTTATTTATAAGTAAATATAAAAACTCTATAAATAAATAAAAATATTAATTTGCTTGTTAAATAATTACATATTATTTTAGACTAATTTTATAAATTTATTTAATCAAGTCCTTACTTTATTGTTTTTAGATCTATAATTGTAATCTTCTATATTAATTACATTATAGTCCTCAATTTCTAAAATTTATTTCCAATTAAGTCACACTTAATTAATCATCTCATTTTAATTTCTGACCAATAGTTCTTATATGAATTTATATGAATTTCTGACCAATAGTTCTTATATTTTAAATTTTTTAATAAATTGACTCAAATATAAATTATAATCATAAATAAAATAAGATTAAATAAATTAATTTATTATTAATTAAATAATTAATTAATTAATATTTGAAAATTAGGTACAATATTTAGCAACCTGTCATGATCCTCAAATATTAGAAAATTCTTAAGTGATTTGATTTAACTTTTTAGTAATTTGAGTTAACCTTTCAATAACAAGTTTCTCAATGTAATTATTATTCATTCATTAACAATGTTTCAATTTAGATATTATAACATGGAATGTATTTTCTATGTCAAATAATGTTTGTTCTCAATACCATAGTTATTAATTCTTTAAATAGAATTTGAAACTCTTCAAATCTCATTCTATCTAGTGTATGAATTTACAATCAATATTTTTTTTCAAAACATATGAAATATTTTTAATAATTCATCTAAGATTATAGATCCTCTCTTAATTACTTAAAAATATTTATATAGTTTATCTTATATTCAATAGCTACCCATCTATTACCTGTGATTAGGACTTGTAGTTTGATCAAAACATAACATTTCCTATATAAGATAAATTGGTGATTCCGTATCTAGATATCATTTACATAAATATCATGTGAACTTCTTCGTAAATACATGTAATCTTTATATATAAAATTTTCATACAGATCAGTTTAGTGTACATGTCAACAGACAAATAAATACTTTATTTTAATTTTAGACATCCCTCGCATCTCTACTTAGAAAAATAATTGTTTCTTTTTATAAAAAAAAAAAAAACTTTAATTAGCATTCAGTCTTTTTAAACATTGACAATGAATATTCAGAAATAATAAAAACTTTATAATTATAAGAACTTTATAATTTTTTTTATAAAATATTTTTTTCTAAAAATTTTATCTTTACTCTAAATTTATTAATTAAATATTATATTTATTAATAAAATATTTAATAAATATTAAAAATTAATAAATTAAAAATATTTGCACGATCAAAATTAAAGTTAACATCATATATAACCATCCATAAACCAAATAAACTAGCAATCACCAAGCTTGCCATTATTTTTCCAATAAAGAAAGCAGCAGAACCAATGGCTAATTTCGAAGCTATACCAGCTAGCTACAAAGAGCATGAATTTACGTTGTTGCTCAACTCTGAACACCTCTTGTTGCAAACCTAACGGATCAAGATGACAGGGTGAACGTCATTTATTGATTTCACGTTATTTGTCATAACAATTTGGATATTGTTTGTACATGGATTCCTAGTAGAAAGTTCGTCTCGGCTGGTTGTTTGGTTCCATATACATGCTCTGGGAACATCGTATTTAGTGACCTGGGGTTGACCTCTCACCTTCGACAATTTGCTCTCATCATCTTTTCCGGCAACATAGCATTCTTGGGGTTGACCTCTCACCTTCGACAATTTGCTCTCATCATCTTTTCCGGCAAGATAGCATTCTTTGTGGTAAGGCAGCGGTTTGCTCTCATCATCTTTTCCGGCAACATAGCTTCTTTTTTTTTCTTTGTGGCAAGGCAGGCGGTCGAAAAACATTCTTCTTCCGGTGTTAACAGTAAAAATTGACTTTAAGGGTATCATGATTTTTAAACTCTTTATGCGTGTGTGTGTGTGTGAGTGATCTGAACATCATCTTGCATTGTTTTTCTGGAGTGAAAACGATTTATCAATCACGAGATACCAGCATTACTGCACTGCAAAATCATCAAGGAGGACTTGTCAATCAGCCCCAATTCTCAGTAATTGGAGAGTTAAGAAGATCCACATTCCACACCCTGACATCTCACAGGCATCAAGAAAACCTTTCAACTCAACAAAAAGTACTTTAGATGCAAGAAACTGTCCCAGAATGGTCTACGTAACAGCAATTACATATGGTATCTGGAAATAAAATATCCAGTGAGGCGCTAAGCATGTTGTAGAATTTAGCCGATCCTCCCAGTTTGATCGATCAGGGTACCAACTTGCTCTCCGCATAATGCTTTTGAGATGTTCCCGGGCTCAAGGAGGTTGAAGATCACAACTGTACAAAAAAAAATTATTCATTTAGCACGGAATCCGATCTCCCAAAAATGATCCACCAAAAATGCTATATGGCTAAAATATGGCAATTTTATGTCAACAAACAGCAAAAACAACCTTTACAGGAGCAAGAAAATGAACTGATATGTTAGTAACAGAAAGGGTGCAGCAAAATTTACCAACCAGGAATGTTGTTCTCTTCACAAAAGGTCAGTGCCATCATGTCCATTGATGTAGCGCCTCTGGAGACCAAGTCCCTGATGGAGATGTGCTCAAATATAAAATTGCTGTCTGGAGAATGGCAGTCATATACGCCATCAACATTGGTACCTTTAAGGACTGCCTCAGCATGAACTAAGGAAGGAAAGCGTGTCGGGTGAGATCCAAAGCACAGTGAAGAAAGAAAAGGTTAAATCTAAAATTAACCTAAAATGAGAGAGAGACAGAGAGACAGAGAGAGAGAACAATTCTTGCTAATGAATTAAAAATATCATGCAAGAAATGTAAATCAGGCAGAAAGCATACTCTCTGAAGCTTGAACAGCAGCAGCAGTGTCAGTGGAAAAGAGTGGATTTCCAGTGCCAGCACCAATGCCACCAAATATCACTACTCTGCCTTTCTCTAGATGCCGAATAGCTCGTTGCCTACTGTATGGTTCTGAAACCTCCTGCATTGCGAATGCAGTTTGCACACGTGTTTGAACACCTATCTTCTCTAATGCTGACTGGAGCAATAAAGAATTCATCACACTTGCCATCATACTGATACAGATTGCACAATGAATGTTCAGTTCAGGAAGAACCACAAATTCTGAGAATCACGAATATGTTCCTCAGCCAGCAACCACAAAGTTGAGATCATAGACACATTTAGTTAGCAGTAAAGCAATGAAAAGATTGTTATCGCTAAAACAATGAAGGATATCAATAAAAATTTCATGAAAGAAAAGGAAGCAAATGCTCACTGCATTCAACAAAAATCTCAACGTCAATTCTGTTATATGATCATCATCCTATGTTCACTAACACCACAGAATTAGAATTGAACTAATTGTAACCAACGATATTCATCCCTAATCTTCCCACCTGTGTAATATCAATTTCATTCCCTTCAAAATCACACAGATTCCTTCCTCGTTCAATTGACCAGTCACCATTTTATTTTATTTTTAAGATGAAAAGAAAATTAAACAAGGTATTGAATGTAAAACCAGAAATCAGGATAAGTACTATTCATTTATGGAGAATATAGGCATTAAGAGTGAATCATTTGCACACAGCATGACAGCTACAAGAGAGCTCTAATAAAGGCTTAGATTTCACGTGGACTTGTGCAGTAAGGGCCAGGAAAGCAAGGAAAAAAAAAGAGCAACAATAAACACATCACAGTGGTTGCTACCATGAGCAAATAAATCAGGTTATAACAATAATCACACTGGGAAAGAGAAACTAACAAAAGACTATGATTTACAATCACAAGAAGGCTAAAATTGTCCACAGCTTTGTCTTATAGCAATCTGGTAGGAAGCGAGTTACCCTATTTGGTATGCAGTGCGTCTGTGTGAGCCTGTTGCGGTCACCCATGTGTTTCCACAAAAAAAATTACGGGCTCCAACAACAATTGCAATCTGGAATACAGAAACGAGTCGGCATGTTACATGTCAGATTCAGAAAGACAGCAAAAATCCCACTTGCAAGGAGCATACCTCAAGACCAAGTTGGCAAGCCATTGCAACTTCTCTTGCAATCAACGTCATCACCTAACAATAAAAAATTATCAATTTAATTTCAGCTTCAATTCAAAAGAAAATGGAAAAATAATATAGAGACAATTTGGTGCATTTACTAGAGAGAGTGATGTGGGAAGCAGTCCCTCCTATATAATCCCAAGTTTAAGCAGATGCAAGAGGGCACAATTAACCTTTGGATCAATGTTGTTAGGACCAGTGCCAGCAAGAGCAACGCCGCTAATTTTCAAGATTACTCTCCGCCATCTGGTTTTAGACATAGATTTGGGCATCATGTTATTTGTCTGACCTGCAGGACTAGCTATTGTATTTGCATATCTGACAAAAACAAATGTAAATAAATATATAAGAAGATTGCAACAAGAACACATTATAAAGAATGGAATAGCTACCAAAAATAGCAACTGTCGAGGCGCATCCTCAAGCAACAGAAGAAGATAATAACTTGCTCAGTTGTTCCAAACCCAAAACACCATTTTATCTTGAATCAAATAGGGCAAGCAACCATTAACTATATAACTGCATGTCTCACTTAGTTTAATAGTAATAATATTGTTAGTTAATGATTTTCCTTGCTGACGCAGCTACTACAAACAAAAACAAAGATTTGTGATACAACTTAAGAAACTAAGTTGAATAATCTCAGACTCCGAAACTAATTAATCGGAAAAAACATCTAACCCCATTCTTGTTTCAACATTAAACCTTACTAAAAACAGTAGTAGCATAGAATTAGCATAGAAAAATATACCTCTTGGATTGCCTGGATACGCTAGCAGAAGAACCGCCACCGCCACCGCCACCATTATCCTCGTCAGCAGGGGCAGGGACAGGGGGGGCAACCTTGATAGGCAAGGAATTCCCAACAATGTCCTCCATTTTTTGAAACCAAGGCCAGTGACTAGTCGAAATACTACCAGTAGTAATCCTATGCCTCTCCAGTTTATACCTCTTCTTCAAATTATCAACTTTATTCTTGCACTGCTCCACACTCTTACCCTGTTTCACCATCGCCGCCACCTCCTCCCAATCTCTCCCTCTTAAATTCCCTCTACTCAGCTGTGTAAATTTCTCCATGTACGCGTCCAACAAGCATCCGATTGCCACGTCACTCCACTCTTCACGATCCTTCCTGTACTCTCCTCCACCGGATCTTCCTCTCTTGTAAATGTTGTACGGATTCTCTCCTCCATCAATTTCACCTTCTCGTTCGCTTCTCTTTGATGCCTCATTGTCGCTGTAAGGGTTCACGTCTGCGAAAGCTGAATCTGTCTCGTTATTATCCTGTCTGTCTTCTTCACCGTCCAGAGGAAGGACCGACTCGGGTGGCGCGTGGATCGGGGTTGATTTCGTTGGGTATCGGTAGGGGTGGTGGATGATGTGATGATGGTGGTTATCATCGCCGAGGAGAGAGAAATCCTCGTCACAGGAAGACGCCATGAAATGGAAGGGACGTTACAGTCAGGGTTACGGGAACGACGACGTTAGGAAGAAGAATGCAGCCGTTTGAGGAAAAGGAGAGGGAGGTGGTTTAACGGAAGGGGAGATTCGTGAGTTTTTGAGGGATGGGCCGTCATTGGCTCTGACGGACCCGTTAAGTAATGGAGAAATGTGTGTGGGCACGTGTGTGGGACCTTAGTTCCGTAACTTTTAAAATGTTACCAAAGCTAGTCTCTGATCTATATCCTCGTTCTCAATTAGATCCAGAACCTGTATATTTTGTCAATTTAGTCCTAATTGTTTCAAAAAAATTCAAAGTCTTATCTTATCTTAATAAAATAGCAAAATGAAAACAATCGAAGTTTTTTTTTTAACACGTGTTTCGCTGATGTGTACAAGTGTTTTTGGTGGAGCATGACATTCTAGATAGTCTAATGATGCCAATGCTCTCCCAATTTCTAAGAAGTGTTAATTTTAATTAATTACTCGGACATCAATACCGATAAAGCCTTGTTATCTTATCGTTCACTGTTAAAAAAAATATATAGAAAAACAGAAGTTTGTTTTAACAAGTGTTTTGTTGATGTGTACAAGCATGTCCATCTGGAAATTTTCCTACAGCATAACATTCTTACGTATTTAATCATTGGGATTAGGAAGTTAAATTATTATAGTAGTGTTTGGTTAATGTCTGAAATAGAAAATACGGACAAAATAAAATTGGAAATGTAAACATAATTGTGTTAGGTAATATTATACAAAATAAAATAATAGTTTTGCTATCATGTTTAATTGATATTGAACATGATAAAATTAAAATTAAAAATATATTTTAACATTTATATGTATTTTCATCAAACTTATATAATCAAAAAAATAATTAAATATTCTTTTAGAGAGTTAAACCAAGAAAATTGGGTTGATTTAATATATTAGCATCTCAATATTAAAAAAATCAAATTATATTTTTTATCAATCATCTAGATTGTTTTTAAATTTATCAAGTTAACCAAATCATATTAAAACATTTTTTACATAAGTTGGTTTTATATCTAGATTAGATAAGGAATTGGATTAGAAGATTTCAAGAATAGCCTATAAAATTGGGTTTAAATAATAATATTAAATAGATTCTAGTGTTCAAAATTTTTATTTTTACATTCATATTTTTTTACCCAGTATAATATGGGTTAGTAAACTAGTATTTATAAAACCTTATAAAATAAGTATTATTTATTAATACATAGGGAAAAAATAGTTGTAGAAAACACAGAAAAATCTAAATATTTGTTAGGTATTGTGATAGTTTTGTGATTACATTTGAAAATATAAATTTAAGAAAAGTCATAGATTATGTTTTTATCTAAATCAAAATTTCAATAGAGAGTTTTTAAAAATTTCAATAGAGAGTTTTCAAAAAAATTCATGTAAAATTATGATATGTGTTAAACTAAATTCCTTTAAAACTATGATTGGGGTGAAACATAATATCAATTACACCATGCCACACCACACTCACATAATAACCTTAAAGAATCTAAAAGGTATATGATGTTTAAGAAATAATTAGTGATGTAATTAGTAATATGTTATTAGTTATTTTTTTATTCTATTTTAAACAAAGAGATATACATAAGGAGAGGAGAGAAAATTTAGGCAAGGATATTCTTATTACTTTTTATGGATTCTCTCCTTTTATCTGTCTATTTGTTTCTTGAGATGGGCCTAAAAGAGTAGCTTATATGGTGCTTATAGTGCATTATAAATTTTTCCATGCTTAATGATGTTTTTCTAATTACTAGGAGACAAGCATTTACAATATAATTGCCCAGTGATACATTATGGATCGGATCAAAGATTTTTTTCAATGTAAAAAAAGGAACGTAGACATCACTAACATATTTTTTAATAACAATAAATTTTTTAATCGTGAAATTAAAATTCAATGATGTTTAACAGAATAGATTGATGACTATTTGTTCTAGCAAAATGTTAGAAAGTGATTTTAATGCTTATTAAGTCCTGAAACTGTGAAATATAAGCAAGTTAAGATATTCAACACCTTGTATTGTGGAGAGCTTTTTAATTTTTTTTCACTTGATTACATGGCGCTAATTTTTTTTAAGATGAGTAATAATTTAAATTTCATTAAAATAAACTAATTTAATAGTAAGTCTTCATTTTCTTATTAATATCTTTAATTTCAACAAAAAAATCAAACATTTTGTTCTATATCATTTATTTAATAAAAATCAAAAGTAATTAGATGGTTTAGAACAAGGATAAAAACGATATACTTTTAACTAAAACTTTTTTGTCTTATTAACAAGCCTTGTTAAAAAAAAAATCATGTTTTTGTCTTATTAACAAGCCTTGTTAAAAGAAAATAATTCATCGGAATATTTATTTCCTTGACAAAATTCTATAATTATTTTAAAAGCAAGTTTCCATTATATATAAATATTCTAATAGTTTAGATACAATGCTTACATGTTACTATCAAGAACTTTGTTAAGAACTTTTAGTGGTTGACCTCATAGAATAAATTTAAAACCTTTGGATATCATTTCTTAGCTGGTCTGGATTTCAAATAAAATTGTTTAAAGATTATCAAAAAAAAAAAAACCTGTACTTGTAGTCTAAGATTATTTTTACTTCATCTCGTTTAGATAAATAAAAAATATGCTATGATGTGATTTTATTTATGGTTACAGTGATAAAAAAACCTAAGAAATGTGCAAATATATAACAAGCTTAGCTATCAATCACGCAATGGTTAGTAATATATGTACTTTCATTAAATTGCGATTAATACATTATATTTTATTAAAGAAGGGAAATAGGAAAAAAGGCTTAAATCTAGTTTTTATATACAGTTACCACTCAATATTTCTTATACTTTCTAAGTAATTTTTGTAGAATCTATGTGGTATTCTTGATTAATAAAAAAGGAAATAAAAAAAAAAAGGCTTAAACCTAGTTTACAGTCACCACCCAATATTTCTTATACTTTCTAAGTATTTCTTTTTTAGAATCTATGTGATATTATTGATTAATAATTGTTTCAATTTCATCTAATTTTCCTTGTGTATTTTGATTTCTGTGTGGAAGGGAGGGGTTCCCCTGTTCTCGGTCTTTCCTTGTCTTTTTTTTTATTATTATTATTTTCTCCTTGTAAACATGTCTTTCTAATATAAAATTGTTAAGGGGTTGACTTGATGAGTAATAAATTGTATCTTTTTTTTTTTGTAACTTTGTAGCCTTAAATTTTAGCACCTGTGTTTAAAAGAATTTTTAAAGCTTTCAAATATACTAAAACAATATAGAAAGTATGAGAGACATAGTTTGGATTGATGGATAAGCTAATTTGAAGACGACAAATGTGAGGGAATTAGTTTGGATTGATCTTGTGGTTAAGAAAATGGATGACTTTTTTTCTTTTTTCTTTTTTCTTTTACTTTCTAGTCTCGAATATTTTGAAAAAATTATTAAAAAAATACATTAGACTAATATAATGAACGTGGAAGATTTAGTTTAAATTGATATATAAACTTGCTAGGTAGACTTGATGTGACTTATATGAGCTAAATTATATAAAAAATTTGAGCTTGTTAAGTTATTAGATTAGATGATATAAGACAACTACTTAAATAATAACATGAAATAATTGATAATATAATGTTGTTATATAAGGTCAAATTCAACAAAATTGGTAAATATATTTATATAAAAAAATATAGATAAATGTTATGTCATAACATATCTATTAAAAACATATTAATTAATAAGTTTGACATAAAAAATTTAAATAATGTTATGTCATACTAGAAATAAAAATCACTGAGATATGTAATAAATTGATATTGTCTCAATATCATTATGTTAAAACTTGACATTTTTTTTATAGGTGAAAATATCATAACAAAAACACCAATGAACATAAATGTACTACTGTAAAAAAACAATATAAAATAAATTAATTAGAATATTCTAGAATAATTAAGAGTTTCATGTATATTATGAACTACACAATATTGTATCTTGTATAATTAGATAGTAAATTGAATAAATTTTTCAATCATCTAAACATGAATAATTTAAAAAAAATTATTTAAAATACTTAAATATTCAAGACACACGAGTCTTTTATGTGTAAATTGTATGTATAAACTTTTTGACATACTTAAAATGCATACTAAGTTTTTGTTTTGATCTTTATTACAAGTCCATTTGATCATACAAGGTACATGATATATAAACTAAATAATTGTGATTTATAGCCTATTTTACAATTCACATCTAGCAATCAAGTTTTTATAATTTCTTCACTAAATTAACTTGATATAAAATTACATGATTATCTAAACTTATATTAAAAGCAAACTTCAACAAATAACATTAACCAATATTATAAGGTTCAAAAGTGTGATAGCAATTATTTTTTAAAGTATTTATTGCTAAAAAATATATTAAAAAAATATATATTTTAAAAAAATTACTTTTGGCATTTGCTCATCAAAACATAAAAAAATATTTTTAAATAAAAAAATATTTTTTTACAAAATGCTATTTTAAACAGTGTCACATTCCAAATGATACCTAAATCTTATTCAATGAAGATTTTAAAAATCTACTCACATCACATACAAAAAAAAAACTAGCATATTGGTTTGTGTTTAACAACAGGTCAACAATAATTTTTATTTCAAATATAAAAAACATATATAAAGAGTGTATAAAGTATTTTAATTACTCTGGGGCTGGGTTTAGTTGCAGAGTCATATTCATTCCTTTCAGTCTGGCTGCGAAGCCACATCCAATCTTCTTAGTTCTAGATGTTAAGCATACCTAATTTTAAAATTTTATTTTTTATAACATCACATCAAAATAATACAAAAAATTTAAAAAATATTAATTTGAAGTAAAGAAATTTTTTTTAAAAAATTTTCAAGAGTATTTTTTGAAACACAAAAACAAACATATTTTAATAAAAAAATTAAATTTAACCTGAAATGAAAAAAAAATTATTATCACCAACTTTTATATAATATAAAAAAATAATACCAATTTACTTCCTTTTTTATAGTATGGAAAAAAATCAATATGAGAAAAGAAAAAAATTAAAAAAAAAAAATTAGTTACCAATGTATTA